AGGATTTCTCTTTCTCTCCCCCCCCCCCCCGTATAACCATCATTCAAGTACAATAGGAAGAGAAAAAAATTATTGTTCAAAATCTCTATTCTTTTACTTCTTCTTCTGCAACAAAGTATTTGTTTACACCTGTATATAAATAAATCATTATTGTTATCATTATTATATATAATGATACAACAGAAAAGTAAGAATAAAAAGTAAGAAATCGTAGAGTATATACTTTAATAAATATATAGATATAATAAATAAGATATAGTCGGACAAACAAGTAGTGCTATCGCCGAGGAAAGGATACGAAAGGAAGGTAATCAGAAAAAGGGAGCAAAATTAGGCTGTAGAATGGTGAACCGTAATGGTAACAATAGCAGCATGTCTGAAAGATGAGTATGTTCTCTGTGAAAGTAATTCAGAAAGAATCAAATATTTGATTGAAAACTAGTCGGTAAAGCCGCACTCACCTTCCATCCAGCGCTGCTGTTGCTCTCCCCCTTTTCCCTGAAGTATGGGATATTCTGTATCATCCATTCATAGATCTGTGAAAGGGTGAGACGTTCGTCGGGAGCGCTGGTGATCGCCTGGGTGATCAGATCGGCGTAACTGTGATTCCCCCAGGCGTTCCGTCTTGACGAATTCTTCTTGACCGGAAGCAGGCTGCCGGCACCTTGGCCGAGAGCGGCGTGCTGAGGCGGCGTGCCACTTTCGACGCCCTCGACGCCCTCCTTGCTCCCGGACACCACGTTCCCCTCGATGTACTCCTCCGATCTTGGCAGCGGCCACGTGTGCGACCGAGCTCTCGTCTGTGGCTCGAATCCGCTCTCAAGGTCGTACGGTACCCCCTGCTGCTGCTGCTGCGGTGGTAATCCGGTCTTCGACCCCGAAGCAGAAACCGGCACCGAGTCCATCATGCTGGGCTCCTCCGTATACTCCACTTTGGCAAAGCGAGATCACCTCGCGCGAGGTGCTGTCTCTCTCTCCCCGGACAAGGCAACGTGCTTTCCTCTCACGCGAGAATCGTGGCAGGCCACGATTACCACCGGCACACGGCGGGAACAAAAAAAAACGCGTCCACGATCGGTCACCACCTCGGTCACTGATTCGCCCGCCGGCCTATTCGCGTGCTAATCGACCGCACTCTTCCCAAAAGAACGCGAACGGAATTTTGCGGCGCGAGACCCGCGGCGAGATCGTCACAATGTCACTTTATTTTACCAGTTTCCCACGATTCCGCGCGCGGGCCTGGAAAAACTCGCCCAACGATGTCGAATCTTGGGCGGAGAAACGGGACGGGAAAAGCCAGGCAGAGTGTGTCGCGGATCACTCGAATCGAACTCTCCCGCGACTGACTACGGACCGGCCGAGAATACACGCTGTAGGTTGTTTTGCGTGTTGCGTGAGCGAAGGAGAAAGATAGAGACGCAGAAGGTGCGAGGGATAGAGGAAGACAGAGGTAAACAGCAACAGACAGAGAAAGAGAAAGACACACACATACACAAACGCGGAAAGAGAGAGAGAGAGTGAGAGAGAGAGAGAGCGTCGGTAGGTAGAAGAGGGGGGAAACCACGTGGTTAAACTCTCTGTGTTTACAAGCCGCGCCGTCGGTCACGTGGCCATGTTTTGATAGAGAACTTGGCCCACTGCGAGGAGAGGAGAATCTTTGGCTCCGCTATCTCGTGTCGAGTACGGTGCTGCGAACACTTTCGAGGAATCGATTCGCGAGGCCGAATCGCCGCGTCACGTCCGCCAAGATACGAGGTCGATGAAACGTTTCCGATCGAAGCGATCTTCCCTCGTCGACGATCTTCCCTCCTATTTCTCATCGATGTGCTCCTGGATCCGCGGGGACTGTCCACGAATGACCCGTCCTCTTGGAAATTCGAAATCCTCGGCCGGTACTTTCCCACTGGTTTTCCTTCTCGGATTGTTTACATCTGGGACTGGCTCGAACCGCGGCGATTACCTGCCAGGCTAGCTGGTAATGCGTGCGTGCACGTCGCGTCTCGACTAAACGCGAAGGCTCTCTCTCCGTAGCAGGGCACGCGCACTCGTGACTATATATACATACACGCACGATGGGAAACGAATTACCGTTCCGTTCCTGTACAACTTGCCGGCAGGGCAGCGCGGCGAACACTGACGAATTCTTTTGGCCGCAAGCCGGAACCGACCGAGCGCGGCCGAAGATGTCCGCGGTGAGTCGGTGAGATTCGTGGCGCCGGCCTCCGCGCCCACGGGCCCGACAAAGACCGAACGATCGCCGGCGACGACCGACCGACAGAGACGGTCTAATTAGCCGGCAAGCGGGTGCGACGAGGACCGTGCCGGCGACGGTATCGCGCGCCCGAGAGAGAAAGGTTCAGAATCCAGCTTGTGAGACCGACGAGGACGGGAACAACGGCGTCGACGAACGAGAGAAACGAGTACGGACGAGCTAGGGAGAGAGAAAGAGAAAGAGAGAGAGAGAAAGAGAGAGAAAGAGCTGTGGTGAGAGAGACAAGCTTCGGACAAATGAGAGGGAGAGAGAACTGTGGCGAGAGAGGAACGTAGAAGATCGCGAACCAAGCGAACGAGAGATCTGGTGGGTGGTTCGATTACACGGTGGTGGGGAAGAGGGGATTCGTGTGACCGAGAGGAACGCAAGGAGGGAGAAAGACTGCCGACAAAGAGGTTAACGGAACGAGACAGGGAGAAGGAGGCAATGGTCTGGAATGAGCTGGATGAAGGGAAGAGGGAGCGAGACAAGCTGGTTAGGGGGAGGGAATCCGCGAGGACACCGTGGACGGTTTGATCGGGAACGTGGGCGGGGAAAGGGGCTCAGCGTGCCCCCAGGGACAGTCCGTGTTCTCCGGGCGGGGGTACTCAGAGAGAATTCCCACGCGGTAACCTACCCCCCTTCGATGGTCGCTGCAACCTCTCCCCTCCACCCTCCGGGGACCTTTGTTTGGGGGAATTTCAGGGAAATATGGGTTAGGGAATATTTAAATTATAGCAAACGATACTTACAGACTTAAATCCTTTCGGTCTAAGCGAATTCTAATCCTGTTGCAAAAGATTTGCAAATAGTTGAGAGGATCACGAGGCGATTAGACAGCTTGGAAAATTCAGATTCGGTCACGAAAGATTTTTGGATTTTCAAGCTATTTCAATTTCTAGTTCGAAGTAATAGTTATTTTACGTATTAAGTTTTACATATATTAAGTTGTTCGGAAAAGAATTTCGTTCTTAAAGAACCACTTGATTCAGTACTCTATGTTAATACTTTGTTAATACTGGTTAGATACCAGAAAGATGACAATTTATAGAACCAAATAGTCCATGCATCATTGAATTTTTACTCTACATACCAAAAAATCGTCTTCCGTTTTAAATCAATTTTTTCCTTTTCAACGAAAAAGGAAATTACTATTCGAAGAAACTAATAGTTATTATTGTAGTGTTTTATTTTTTTAGAGATCTGAAATTATATCTACAAGCTAATCGTATCTTTCTATTTGTTAGAAAATTCTGCTAGAGCTAATTCTGTTTGAACGAATCAATGTGGAGATGTCAAATCCTTCAAGTCAAAACTAATCAATTATTTGTATTTATGATCCTTTACTTTAAGTGAGTACTATATTTATTAGAACAATAATTTTTATGTCTTGTTATAAGTTCATAAAGAGTTTAGCGTTTCCCTTTGTCAATCGCTTTTTTTCTCAACACCTTCGATATTTTTTTTCCGTAATTTTCAGTGTTCTTGAGCATGTTATTAATAACTTTAACGCATCTATTGATTTTTTTTTTTGTAATTTCTAGGCCTCTGAAAAATGTTTACACTTCAAAGCTGTCTTTAATCATTTCAGATTTCCAATGATATCCCTATCATAATCCCTATATATCCCTATATAACGCTTTTCGAGACATGCATTCGAGAAACGCAACAACTTCCGCAGCACTGCACCACGGTGGAAAGAATTTCTGGTCTCAACATCTTATGATTGAAATAGCGTTATTTCGAATAAAAGTGGTTTTAATTTTTTTTTAAATACAACAATGGTCAATTTCTTAAAACCATCAAGAATTATTTTTACTATATCAACTAAAACGTTGTAGAAAATGTATAACAGATATGTATGATAATATATAGAATTCGTCAGCAACGAACAGATTTTTTGGAAAACATAAATTGAGACATAAAAATTGACCGAATTTATTGGAGAAATTAATATGCGTAGTTTCCTACGTACGACCTTTAACATTTTCCGCGATTTCAATTGCGTAGGTAAGGTGAGCAAAGGTGAATCGCGGCTATCGATATTTATCGATAGTTATCGTAGCAATAGTTTAACGCAATACCAGCAAAATAAAAAAGGTTAATCTAACCCATAAATTTGGAATTATTGATTACAGTGGTTTTCCTATAAAGGCTATACACGATTTCCATAATAGTTCGATATTTGTCGAAACTTTCTTCATTGTAATAGTGGATACATGGCAAACATTACATTTTTTAAATTAATATTTGTATTGATAACGACTTTTTTGTCATTTTAACCCTCTATGGGCCGAATTTTTTTCTTAAATATAAAAAAATTTATGCAACGGAAAATCTATTATTATAACCTATATATGCTAATTAAAAAAATATTTAACTGTTTAAACGACTTTATTATAATTGGTTCAATTTGTAACTTTGAAGTACACTTGTGTGCATAAATGCTTAAGCGTGAAATTCAGAAATAAAGAATCTAATAAAGAATCTTCGGATCTATTACCGTTAATGGGTCTAATTCTAATTCCTCTTTTATTTTTATATGATTTTGTATCCATATTTTGGATATTTGATATATAAATTTGAAAATAGAAGAAAGCATAACTATTATCCTAAATACACTCGAATCTACCACAACATCCCAATGTAACCTGAAAATTACAAAACTGTATCATATACAAATAGTAACAAAATGATTATTAAAATGCAAATAAATAAATTGTTATTGATATACGAACCCAGAGCTA